CCATGTTCTCTGAAGTGTCAGAATTGGGTGTCCTACTGGATGTCTGGTTTATGCATATTGTTACAGGGGAGAAGAGTCACAAAAGTGGCACACCTCGAGTCTGAAAACAGCCTGTTCATCATGCTGTGCTATGCGGAGATGTAGAACATCGTGCAGAACAGAGCACGCTTATAGTACAGTGATAATAATGCTTCATGCTTGTTTCACTTTGCAGGAATGTCACAATTGTAGGGATAGACTGGAAACATAGAATGCAAACCTGTGTGTAAACAGCACAGTCCAAGGGAAAGAAAACTTTTTTGGCCCTTTTGCATGGCCAAGGTTTCACCCACAGGCTGTGGCAGAAAGAGAAACAGGGTTTGTTTGTCTTATGTCCTACTTTTGAAATAATAACATTGCTGCAAGAAGTAGTGAATGCAGGCTACCTCATGGTTTTTATACGTCACCAGGAAACAGTTTTTTGAAGTGGTTTGTTTGATTGTGGAATGATGTTACAGTAGCATTGCAAGTCTGGGTCAGTAATAGTGGCTCTTGAATAAGGTTTATGGGCTCTTCTTTAGAGAGAGGAATTTCTCGTGTAGTGGTAGCTCTGCCCTGGTTGTAAGCCTTTCAATCTCCAGGCTGGTTGCTTAAGTGTCAAAACCGCTTTTGTTGTGTCATTGCTGACTCCTCCTTAGGCCAGCATAATTACTAATAAATTAAGGCTTCTCTGTATGTGTCAACGTGTTGTTGCACAGAATTATGAGTGCTTGCTTCAAGCTGACTTCTACAGTTCAGATCAGTTTTCCGTCTCAAAGCGACGGCCGAGACAGCAAGTGAGCATATACGTGTGTTGTAGCTGTATAAGGAGTGACTGATTTCATGTTTGACAATCTGTCTCATGGCAACAGGTGGTTGCTCCTCATCAGAAGTAGCTCATTAGTTTATCTGAGGAGCTGTCATGTAATTAAGAAAGGTAATCTGGAAACTTTCTTCTGGCTGTGGCCAGGAGACCACAGACACCGAGGACTTCAGAGGAGCAATTTCCTCTCATGACCACCCAGGTGGGGTTTGCTGATGGGCATGCACTTGTGAAGTGGCCCACCTGAGGACAGTTATAGCTGCAGCATAGTGTTTTTGTGGACGATGGCTGGAAAACACAAGCAATGCATCACTTGGACATTGAGAAGAGGGTAGTAGCATGGATGGGTTTTCTCCATTTGATTAAAGGGAAGTTGTGGGTGTTCCTAAGGTCACTGGGAGCTCTGTCAGAGCAGCTGGCCAAGAGGCTTCCCTTAGCTTAGCTAAGAGGTGACTGCATATTCATCATGCATTCCCAGCTGTTGCCTTAGCTAGTGTTTGCCTCTGAGCAGTAACCTGCTAAACAGTAAGAGAAGAACAAATGAGAATAGCTTGTAAGGGAATGCAAGTGGGAACTCATAACCTGTGCCAAGACACGTGCATCGTGTTGCCCAGCCTTTCCAAATGCATCTGCACAGCCCATGCATTGTTTCCCAGGCCATGCCTCATCTGCAGATGTCACGCAGTTACCACACCTGCCAGTGCTTCCACAACAGGTACTTCCATTAACCTTTTGCTGATGATGGGTGGGACTAGCAGTTTTGCAAGAAAAGTTACAGTGAGAAACTCTCTGGTAGAAGTTGTAGCATCGGGTGTTCAAATGGCAGTGATATTAGTAAAGCCCCCTTGATTCACATCTGATCGGTTTTTATAATGTGAAAAATTATTTGCTTCAAGGATTTTTTTTTTCTTTAGCTTGTTTTCAAGGTAATTGGAAGACATTTGTCATGTGTCTGTTTCAGCTGTGTCTCTTGATCACTATTGTGTCTTTTAGCAAACCATGTCTAGGGGTGGCTATAAGGCAGCGTAAAGCAGTAGGACTGACCATCTGGAGTGTTAGAAGAAAGTATTGGGAAGAAATAGGTTATGTTTTTCAGTAGAGTGACATCTTTCCATCATTCTGGCATCTTTAATTTAAATCAGGAGATTGCTTATATTTGCTCAGAAAACACTGGTGGCAGAAACATTTATTGCAAATGTTTTATCCTTTGTCTAGTTGTAAGGAATGAGAACTTCTTTAGGTGCTAAAATAGCTTGTTGTTTTGGTTTTGGGGTTTTTTTTGATCAGTTTAGGGAGGATTAGCAAGAAGTTTAGGTTAGGAAAGACCTTTAAGATCATGAGACCAACCGTTAACCCGGCACTACCAAGTCTACCACTAAACCATGTCCCTCAGCACCACATCTACATATCTTTTTGATACCTCCAGGGATGGTGACTCAACCACTTCCCTAAGCAGTCTTTTCCAATGCTAGACAACCCTTTTGGAGAAAAATTTTCCTCATATCCAATCTAAACCTCCCCTGGTGTAACTTGAGGTCATTTCCTCTTGTCCTATTGCTTGTTACGTGGAAGAAGAGACTGACACTTTCAGGTAGCTGTAGAGAGCAGCAAGGTCTCCCTCAGCCTCCTTTTCTCCAGGCTAATGGAAGTGCTTCACAATGATCCTACCTGATGGACCTTAAAGTGTGCCATCAAAATTGCTTCACTGCCCCTGTGACGGTCTGGTCCTTCCTGTACCATGCTGCAGCAGGTGCTTCTCAGCCAGAGCTGAGGACTAGACCTACGGTCTGAAGTTAGGCTTTACCCCAGGATTAGTCTCTCAGTGTCTCTAATAACACTGGGTGATTTGTTGCCTTTTGATGTGGTCTTTGTCCAGGACAGGCATCAGAGCTGCAGGAATAGTTCCGTGAGAGAGAAAGAGTGGAGCTTTCCGTCGGCCGTGGGGAAGCACCTGTGAGCGACCAAGCAATTATCTTACCTCTTTAAATCCAAACACTGTGGTTCTTGTATAAAAGACTCAAAACCCGATTCTGTTTTTTTCTCTGCTGTCTCGTGGCGCTGGAGCGTGTCGCAAGCCGCGGTTGGGGCCCCGCGGTTTCTCGGGGTGATGAGAAGCGAGTGCGTGGCTGCTGCTCACACGTGGGTCAGTGGCATCGTTTAAGGCTTGGTGTGCCCACAATACGTTCCAAAAATCCACTGCTGCTCCCTCAGCCAAGCAGTAGAATTAGGATTTATGAAGTGAACGGGCATGAAAAGCAAACAAGCTCAAGATTTTTGTAACCTATACGATTCTATAGGAGAGTGATCTGAACTACTGTTGTGTTGTTTGAGGGGAGGGGGTTGGTCGTAACTGCAGATCCCAGTGCCCGTGCGGTGCCCTGCCTGCTTGATAACGTACAGAATTGATTTTAAATGTAGGAAATTCTAGATTATGTGAAATTTTATTTCAGATCAAGGGTTTGGAAAACAATTACACAGGTTAAAAATAGAACAGATTTTAAATCTTTTTCCCAGCAGCTGTGTGTATGGTGTGGTTGTTGGCAGGGGAGGGTGTTGGGTGGTGTTTTTTAGGGGGAAGTGGTTTGGGTTTTTTAGCAAAACACAATAAAGGGAGTTTTCAGAGGAGCAGCCGTCTCCTTTTCCAAAGGAAACCTGCAGGGTGATGTTTATGCTTTTTTAGTCATCAGAGGCGAAGTGCACAATAATGGTAAGTCTGCATTTCTACAATTGGAGGATATTTCTCATAATGAAGGAAGTCTCCAAGGTCAACAGCTACAATACCCGGAGAAGTTACATCACAAAACCACATCTGCACAAGACTCTTCTCTTCCCCCCTTCCCTCTTTTTGTGCATGATCTCACTCTCTTTCTCAGCTTAAGTGTTGCTCATGTCACTTGCAAGAATACCATGGATTTGATTTGGACTTCTGTTTACAGTGTTATCTACCTGTTTTTTTTTTTTAAAAAAAACAAACAACAACAACAACAAAAAACCCCCAAACCACAAACCAACAAAAAAACGCCAACCCCCACCAAAAATCGTGAATGAGTATTCTTCCCCTCAAATAACTGAAGAAGCCTCACTGTGGTGTTCTAGTATGCTGTACATTCCCCAGCTCAGTTTGTCTCGCTCCAGTTTTTGCAGTGGGAATGACAATGGCAGCGGCAGCACCTCCCGTATCTAGTCGGGCCCGTGCGTTTCGTGGTTGCCTTCTGTCACGCGGCAGTAATGGGCATGGCAGCTCGTGCCTCTGAGCTGTATGTATGTGAAGAAGAAAACTTCCGACTATTTTAGCAAAATTTGCTTGAGGGAAGAGAGAAGTCTAGATCGTAATTTTTCCAGGTCACTTTGTATCACCGTTTACTATGCAGATTAATGTTATTAGTACATGTAACAGATTGGAAACCCCTGGTATAATAAGTTTCTCTCTGTTTGGGGTTTTTCTTCCTTGTGTTTCTCTACAGTGCAAGGACTGTATTATAATCCTCTTTTTGAAGCAGTATTTTTTCACCGGTGTTTGCTTGTTTTAGCTTTAACAAATGGCTGTTAATCCAAATTCAGCTTGTCTTACGATGGCAAGAGCAAGGACACTCCTTAGAAGCCTACCTGTCCATCTTATTTGTTTTCCAACCTCCTGATGAGGTTTGCTCTTATTCTGTCAATAGAATAGCAAAGCAAGAGGTTGCTCTACATACTCCTTATTGCTGTAGACCTTATTCTATTTATACCCAAAACCTCTGACTCAATGCTGCTGAAGTCAACTGAGTCTTTCCCTGGCTTCGGGTTGTTCTGAATCAGTCTATAAACCTAAAAGTCAAAGGCGCTTCTAACAAAGAAAACAAAACCTTTTTCCGTCAGTTCCTAACAGGACTTCTGTTGTGGTTTAAGCCTGTTGTTCATGTCTAATCATGTTCACTGGTGATCCATCCAAGCATCATATATTAGAGTGAAATAACCTAGTATTCAATACTTCCTTGATTGCGTTTGGTTTGTCAACAATTATTGCATTTTAAAAGGGTGTTGGCGTTCCGCCATACCCGTTCCCTCCCTCTGCAATTGGGAATGGGAGTTATGAAGAGGTGTAAATGTCATCCAGGTAGCTAGGTAGCCCTGAGTATTTAAGGAAGTGAGAATAAAGGCTGATCTTCTTTTAGGTGTGGACCGGTATGAGAGAGGTTGGTTTGGACTAGAGAAAGAAGGATTTGTAAAGCTGAGGACATGTGTTTTGGAAGGTGTGCTAGGTGTGTTGGTTATAAGTTGCTCATCCTTGCCTTGCTCAGCATCGTGGCCAACATTTTACTTTATTTTCCTAATGGTGAAACAAGATTTGCTTCGGAGCATCATCTCGGCAAATACGTGGAGTGCCTTCATGGCATTCTAGGTGGAGGCTTTTTGGTAAGTAATGAGCTAGTGGTTTCTTTCATGTTTATTTTGGAGCTACTTGGTATTACGGTTTCTTTACCAGTTTCATTAATTTGTTGATCAAATATCTCATCAGCAG